TAATTTTGGACATAGCAAATAAGACGTTGCCAAGAGTACTTTCTGGGCAGAATAAATATGTAGCTTGTTCTTAACTGAGTTTGTTGTTAAATATAGCTTTGATTTCCTCCCCTCTTCCCTCCAAGAACTGTATAATAGTTTGTTTATCATCTACCACCCTATCTTTAAATGTTAGGCTCAAAATGATTGTGTTTTTTCTGTATTTATATTTTCCAGATTTTTCTGGCTTTGTAGCTTTGGCTGAAATTGTGTGCCTCTCCTTCTTTTGATCCATTCTGTTTACAGTGTTTCACTTCAGTTCATCAGACAGCACCTGATTAGGTGGCCTTCTGTCATCCATCCCCCACACATCCCTCCTGGCTTTGGCATTGTGGGGCTGGCTGCCCTCCAGAATCTCATCATGAAAGCAGCTGTCCTGACAAGGGAAGATGAGTTTGGTTCATCTTTAAATATTTTTAAGGAATCAGACTTAATGTCACAAAGAGGTCAAAGGCTCAGTCACATTTAATGTGTGACATGATGGCATTCTGAAAAACATTTAACTTATCAATTTTTTATTCTCCGAAAGAATAACAACCCTGAAAATGGGCAGATATGTTTTGGAATACCTGTGCTGCCTTCTTTCTAGCTATATAATGAGAACACCAACTGTAAAGTTCCAAGCACTAAGCACGTTGCCTGGCACATTGAAGTAGGCACAATAAATTTTAGTCCTCTTTAAAAATTTATTAAATATTTACCACATGCAGGGCAAGGTTGAGTAAATGGAGTACTGGATTGCATCAAAATATCAGAAGTCTTAAAAAGCTCATAGTGCTTTTAAGGGAAATCTTCTGAGCTCAAATGTAGCCTAGAAGGTAAAAAAAAAAAAAAGAAAAGAAAAGAAAAGAAAAAAAGAAAAAAGCCACATTACAAATCTAGTGGAATGAGAATTAAGAGAAGGGAGAAATTTCTGTTAGTGGGAGGATAAGGTAAAGCTTTGTGGAGGAGGTGGCACTTGAAATAAAGCTAAAGAAATTCTTCTCTTCCCTTATACAGTAGTGGCAGTGATTCAGACTTCGCAGAGATAGAAAAAAAGATCCTGAAGTGATAGAAAAGAAGTTGAACAAATGAAGTTATTGTAGGGCATGTTTGGAAAATTGGTAACAGTCAAATTTGGCTCTAGTAGAGCCCACATTAAAGGGAAAGTGAAAGATACTTTTAGAAATACAGGTTGGGCATATTTTGGAGGACCTGAGATCTCAACCTATATGTGAAGCATGGAGTAGTGAAAGGAGACCCTGGCTATGAATCAGGAATCCTAGACTCTCTTCTAGGTACCTGGCAAAGATATCAGAACTCCCAGGTTCTGGAGGTACATTATTCTGGGTTCAAATCTCAAAGTTTCCACTTATCAACTCTGTGACATCCAGCAAGTTATTTTCTCTTTCTAACTTCAATTTGCTTATTGTTAAATGAGAGGATTAGATTAAACTATGTCTAATAAATAAAATTGTTTATTTATATATTTAGTTGTTGAAAAATGGCAAACGTTTTTCATAGACAAGTTTTCTTTTGTTTTGTTTTTCAAGTAGAAATGTTGAAAAGCTTGGAAATAAAATATTCAAATGAAATAATCAGAGAACTCTTTGGTTTCTGTTCCATCGCTAAACTTACATGAGTCTAAGGAGATCTAATATTTCCTAGGACAATCTGAAGGAGTAAAATACTGAAGGCAAGAAAATCATTTGACATTGGAGCTAAAATGAAACAAGGATTTGAAGAGTGTTAGTGGCATTTTTTAAAGGGAGGGGGGAAATCATATGAGAGATACTGCAGTGGTATAATCAAAAAAATTTGGCACCTCATTGAATATCAATTCTATAGCTAACAAGCACAAGAAGTATTACTTTTTAAAAATTTATATGTTTTTATATTAAAGCATATAAGTGACATGATTTAGTGATCACTTTTAATTCTATATTACTCTGAGTTTCAATGAATATGGAGTTCCTAGTGTTGTAGATTGGGACATGTTATTGGACCAAGTATATGACAGTATAGTATTCTAGGTGTTGGGGACATAGCAGTGAATAAGAGACACAGGTCGTTGTTCTTGTAGCACTTGCATTCCAAGACTGTGATGATGGGAGACAGAGACAACAAATAAATAAAGACAATAGCATCTGGCGGGGGGGAAGTACTATGAAGAAAATGAACCAAGCTGATGCAATAGGGAGTACCTGAGAGGCTAGTGAAGACCTCTCTAAGAAGATATATTTGGGTTGAGAGCTGAATGATTGATTGAAGGAGCCAACAACATGGAGCAGCAGGGTGAAAACATTTCACAAAGAGGACACAGATAACACGAAGGTGCAAGGGTAGGGATTATGCTTCTGTGGATTTCGGGAATCGAAAGAAGTCAGCCTGGCAAGGGCATAGTGAGTTAGGGGGAGAGAAGTCAGAGATGAGAGGACAATACATGTGTTAGTTTACAGAATGGGGTCAACTCCAAAAACTCATTTCTAATCTCTTCTTGGCTTTGTTGCAATTTCACAGCCCAGCAGATAACATCCCTTGCAGCAAAAGTAGTTAATAAAACCACATTAATTATTTTTCCAAATCAATTTTGGGAATATGATGAAACCCCCAATTTTTCAGATGAGAAAATTGAGGCTCAAAGATGCTTAGCTACTTGCTCAAAGTCATGCAGTTTGTAAATGGCACAGCTAGGACTCAAATCAGGTCTTATGATTTCAGGCCCAAAGCTGTTTCTGTTTCCCACAGCGTCACTTTCCCTTCTTATGTAATCCTAAAAAATAACAGAGTTATTGACCTCTTATCAGAGAGCCTACAGGAGAAGAGTCTGTAACTCTGGATAGCTGTTTTAACCACATGACAGTGAAAGAGTCCTATGCTTATTATGGTCGACAAGGTGACACATGCTTGCTACACTAAGGCAGAGAGGTAGAAGGGAGTATCTATAGGCAGAGAACTGAGTGTACTCATTTTCCTTTGCTTGGAAGTCATGGAAACCCTTTGTTTTAATAATCTCATGATTCCATGTTTTTCCAACAAAATCAATTTTATGTAGTATTGAATGAAATGAATGTGCCATAAGATACTATGGCATTTTAAAACAAACATGAAATGTGGTAAATAAGCTGGTGTTTACACATGAGCACTACATTAGCTATTTCTGCACTTTGCCCCTCCATTAAGTTAACCACCAGGCCTGGGCCATTAAAATCCAGCCTTCTTCCCTCAGTTACAGCCACACATTAACTCTGGACATTCTGAGCCTTTTTAATAAGGTCATTTTCAGGGAGGATTGGAGGATTTCCTGTGTCTCCGCTCCTTTCTGTTCCCACCCGAAAGTCCCCTCTGCTACTTGCAACTTTGAGTTCTGAACATGATTATCTCCCGTAAGCAGTTAGGATCTCTGTTTATGATGCATCCCCAAATCTAGGCATTCGTTTAAATGAGAGCTCTAGTCATAGAGACATATTGTACTTCTCTCAGAGAGCGGCATTTGCTGCTTGCTGGGGGCTTTCTGCCTGATGTAGGGGGGCGAAAAAGGAGTGTTGGCTGGCGTTTGGGAGCAAATTTAGAGTCTCTTCTCATTGGAGGGACTGGCTTTTTCCTGAGCTGCTAGACACTAGACACTGCAGGCTCAACTGAGGCGCGGAGGTGCAATTCAGGCTGGTGGAGCAGCGGCGGAAAGCAGGGACAGGCGGGGCTAGCGCGGCTCTGCAGCTGATCACACGCACCAGCACAAACACCGCTCTCTTGCCGCTCCCGCTAGTGCCTCGCGACTTCGGCCCGAGCCACGGAGGCGCAGCCAGGGAGTAGGGGGACTGAAGAAGGAAGAGGCAAAGGAAAGCACCGTGAAGCAAAAGAAAAGCTGGATCGGCGCTGGTATCTAACCTGAAAGTCTGACCCGCAACCCGAGGCTTGAACCCCTTACAGCAGTGCCACTGTCTCCTGCTAGGAAAGCACGATGCCAAGGAATCCCTAAGTCCCGCGCCCAAGTCATTCTATGCCCGGCGTGCCAAAATCCTTCTGGTCTGGACAGAGTGCTCTCTGGAAGGTGCGGAGCTTGGGGGACCTGCATTGGCGTCCGTGGTGATACACTAGGAAAAGTGGGGGCGAGGAAAACAGCACTGAGCGCAGAGTGCGAGGCTGGGCTGCCGCCGGCTGAGCCTCCGCCTGCTCTCTCCCGCTGGGTGAGTTCTCTGGTTTCGCTCACCGCTGCGCCTCCTCTGTGCGCGGAGGTGGCCTGGGAGCCCTTGAGGGTCCGCGGGAAGGGCCTGGTGGCGCCCACGGAACCTCGGCGGCCCGCGGACGCCAGGCAGACACATCTCTGGAGTCCTAAGCTGAGGACTCTGAGCCCGGGGGACGTGGGTAGGGGGTGTTGCACCAGTGCCCCGCAGACATGCCTTTGGGCGGGATTTTGGCCAAAAGATAGGAGGCGGGGGCACCAGTGGGGAGCTAGGAGCCGTCCCAGGGGGGCGGGCGATTGGGGAGCGCCGGGGAGGGGGGAGGGTCTGGTCCAAGCAGGTAGCGCAGCTTCGGCAGCCTGGCGAGTTGGCTGGCGGGGTGGGACTCGCTTGTCAACTCATTAATTTAAAAAGAGTCAGTTTAGGAGTGTTGCAGGATAGTCAGGAGGTGGACGGCAAGAGGTGGCCCGGGATGCCGGTGGTGAGGGAAGAAAACAGAAGCCTCGAAAAGCTTGGAGGCAAAATTGGGCTTGGATTTCTGGTCCTTGCATCCCTCCTGCCTTGAGTGCGGGAGAACACTTTTTTTAAGACTCAGCTTGGGAGGAAAGCCTCCGTCCAAGGGGAGGAGAGGCGACTGCAGGGGGCAGAGACCGCTGCTACCTACCGGGTGCGCCCCCTCAGCTCGGGCGCGCTTTTGTCCCCCCTCTCTCCCCCGCCCCCACCTCCTTATTGGTGCTGGTTTGCAGCGCTAGGCTCCTGCTCCTTCGCTTCGTATTTGAATCTGGCTCGCCCCTCCGTATTATGTCTGCACTCCGAAGGAAATTTGGGGACGATTACCAGGTAGTGACCACCTCGTCCAGCGGCTCGGGCTTGCAGCCCCAGGGGCCGGGCCAGGGCCCGCAGCAGCAGCTTGTGCCCAAGAAAAAGCGGCAGCGGTTCGTGGACAAGAACGGCCGGTGCAATGTACAGCACGGCAACCTGGGCAGCGAGACCAGCCGCTACCTCTCGGACCTCTTCACCACCTTGGTGGACCTCAAGTGGCGCTGGAACCTCTTCATCTTCATTCTCACCTACACCGTGGCCTGGCTCTTCATGGCGTCCATGTGGTGGGTGATCGCCTACACTCGGGGCGACCTGAACAAAGCCCACGTCGGCAATTACACGCCCTGCGTGGCCAATGTCTATAACTTCCCCTCCGCCTTCCTCTTCTTCATCGAGACCGAGGCCACCATCGGCTATGGCTACCGCTATATCACCGACAAGTGCCCCGAGGGCATCATCCTCTTCCTCTTCCAGTCCATCCTGGGCTCGATCGTGGACGCTTTCCTCATTGGCTGCATGTTCATCAAGATGTCCCAGCCCAAGAAGCGCGCGGAGACCCTTATGTTCAGTGAGCACGCGGTGATTTCCATGAGGGACGGAAAACTCACGCTCATGTTCCGGGTGGGCAACCTGCGCAACAGCCACATGGTCTCCGCGCAGATCCGCTGCAAGCTGCTCAAAGTAAGTGCTTCCCGCCCCCTTCCCCAACTGGTAATCGCCAATCCGCAAACTCGGGAATTAACTCACCTGAGAATTACCCTAGCCTCATAGTCATACCTTTCGCCACAGGTAAACTTCCTTTGGTTGGAAGGAGCGGGACGAGTCTGGGGGCTTGGGCAAAAAGAGCACAGTTGACAAGTCCCCCGCCCCCTTACTTTCGTGCTCTTATTTATATTCATCATTCGAATGTGCTTGTATCGCTTTCTGGATTAGTGACGTTTATGCAGTGGTGTAGGCTTCTTGAGCCCTGAGGTCAATGAGTGTGCCCTCATCCTTGCTGTTTTGCTCTTTAGAGAGCTTTTGATTTGTTGTCAATATACTACTTTATTCAATTTGGGGTGCTAAAACTGAACAGCTTTATTTTGAAGAAATAGGTACTGAACTTTCCTCAACTTTCAGTTAGCTTTTCCTTCTTTCTGCCCTCCCCCCACCCCATAATACCAGCCGTTCGATTATTACTCTGGACACAGTAACATTAACTTTATGGTCATCTTTTTAACAAGCACGCAGATCCAAGAAACATAATAAAATGGAAGAAACAACACCTGGTTCTTTAATTTTTAAAAAATTTTTACAAAATATTTTCTAGAGAAGTATTTTGTAAAAGCTTGAGTGCTTTTCCCGTAGAGCCTCTTGTTAATTTTTGTCCTCAATTGCCCGTTTCTATGAAGCCTTCGTCAATTACAGATTTCACTTGAAGCTTTTCAGCAACCATTAAAGAAGACTGCTTCCTACCATCAGCAGTGTAAATGCTAAAGCAAATTGCACATAGAGTGGTTATTAAAGCAAGGTTCATCTAGTCGTTAGAGGGCACCACTACAAACCAGAAGAGAAGACCACCCTAATCACTCACCCAATTAGACTCTGGGAATTTGGGAGAAAAGCCTGGTTCTCTCTCTGTGTGTCATTTACAGTTCATCTTCTTGAGGGATTTTTCTTATGTAGTTTTCAAATGTTCATAAATTGAAAAAGATGACCTTATATAAAAATCTTAAAAATTTATCTGATATAGCATAAAGAATCATAGCCAGTTTCAGAATTTAGCATTAATAAAATGAAAATCTGACAAATATATAAGTTGAGATTTTTCTTTGAAATTTCAATTTCTACTCTATAACTATATGATGTTTTACACAGCCTCGACTTATGTTGTAGTTAAAGGTGATCCAATGTGCTTTTAAAAAGTTTGGCTCTCATATCATTTTCATTATTCATTTATAAGATCTTACCCGAATTACTTATGACCATGTTGCTCAGTAAAGTGTTAGAACTAAAGCAGTTCCGTTGTCCTGTCACTCTACATCATATGCATATTTACTATGCTACAGGCAGTAAATAAATTTTGTATAACGTTGTAAAAATTTTTCAACCTGATCCTGATGTGCATATTCATTAAGGTAACTATAAACAAATAATTTGAGATCATTTTCTTTATAATTAACTGCAATGAGCTACATACGGTTTTTTATTTAACTCAGAATATTGTGTTACTGACCTGTTTGAACTGAGTTGTTTTGATAAGGCTAAGAAGTTGTGTTGTAGACTTGTTTCTTGCAGTGGTATTTGTGGTATGTGCCTGCTTCTATGAATAGAAAAGATATATAATCTCTCTCTGTAGGTAAGGCCTACTGGGAAGATAGAAACATTTTATTAATACAGTACAAAAGTCTCTGTCAAGAAATCCATGTTTATATGTCACTTTGAGGTTCTTATTGAAGAGTAGTTTACCATATTGATTGGTCTACTGGAAATTTAAAATTTGACTTTAAAAGTCATTTTAATTGATTTCTCTAGGTTTTCAAACATATAAAGTCATTTATTAAAACAAATATCTTTTCAAGGCGAGACATTTTAGATGATTTTAGACTTTATCAAATTTTATTTTAACAAAGCCAGAAATAATTAGAATTAATTTACATATCAGTTTTTTTGTTTGTTTGTTTTGTTTTTGCTTTGTTTTGTTTTAAAAACAATACAAGAAATCCAAAGCACCCAGTCTCTATAGTGGTTCAGAACACTGATAATATTTTTTATACGTAAGGCCATGTACCATATATACCATAAGTAGTGTCTTTATTAAAGAAAAAGTTTTATAGTGTTGGCAAATTTGGAGCAAGGTGCTATATTAACACAAGGTGATAAAAACATCTAAATAAATAATATATATGATAGTCCTATAAAAATATTTGCTTTTTACTTGTTAGGACTATGCCAGTGGTAGAAGTCAAAATGATTGACATGTGGCATCGATTTGTATTTAAACAAAACTGGTGAAATTCTTGCTTTTTGTGAAGCAAGAGGGTTGATCAGTGGCAGCTCTTCCTCCATCCAGTTAGTGTAGTTTGTTTGAAGTTGATATTTCCTGTTGCCATGATAATTAAAATGAATTTTCATAGCTCTCATCATTTCTTTAGACTTCATTAAAAAAGAATCATTTTTGGGAATTGATAACATTCACCAAAATTAGGTGGGATATTTGTTTTTAATGTTATTCTTATTTTCTTTTAGAAACTGAAATGAAGTGACCTAAAACAGCCAACAATGTACTTAAAGAGAGCTATACTAGACTCTTATAGTAATAATATTTTGATATCAATCTTATAAATTCTTATTAAATATTAGTATACATATTCAATTTTTTCTTTTAATCCGTTTGACATTTTAAATGTAAGATATATGTATATTAATTGCAGAGAAATATATACAATTTTAAGGCAACAAAAACATAATTTTTAAGGATAGTAATTGTAGTCTATGTATGTGATTGCTATTACCAATATAAACGAAAACGTAATTTCATTTATATTTTTCTATTGATGCTTCCTTATTTACTGAATAAAATTTTATTTATCAATATTAATATAAAATTTCTATTTAATGATTATAAAGTACTTTATATTCTTGGGAAGACAGTAAGAACATGGATATGGCTTTCTAATCCTTGCTACTATAAAATTTTCCATGCATATATCTTTCGAATTCTCTAAATTTTGATGGAAATTTTTCTTATAACTTCTCTAATTTTTAATTATGCTATTTACTTATATGAAAGCGAATTTTACTTCAACTCTTTTTCTGTCTTCCAAGCTTGCAAATACTGAAATTTATTTTGATATTCAAATATAGATTTTCCAATTTTATGCCTGGAGTAGTTGGTCCTTTTTCTACTCAGAAAAAAAAGGAAGCAGATTAAATTTAAAAATTAAATATAGTTTAAAGTTTTTTACTTTACTTTAAAATTTATATTTATTATAAATACAGCTACAGAAATCTCTTTTAAGATGAACGTTCTTTCTCTTTTCCTCTTCTCATCTCCATGTTGATGTTTTATTTGAATTTTCAATTTACTTTAGTTTTCTATTTTTTTTCTTTTAACCTAAAATATAAGGACTAATGAATATCATGGTCATGTTAATATATCAACCATTTGAAAGTTTTAATAAAAATGCTTGGATTAAGGAGTTGAGACTACTGGCTGGACAGCTGGACCCTATAATTTAGTGTTGGGTATAAAGGATTTGGAAATCTCACTTACTCCTTTCTACAAATCTAATACTAAAAGTTGCCTGCCTTAGACTTGTTAGGGGGAGATTTAAATAATATTTTTTGATACATTATTCAAGAATTTACAAACATTATCGAGAAACCATCATATATGTATATAATACGTAGGAACCTAGTTAAATCTTATTTACTTATAAAGTAAACATAAAATCAACTATTATTGGATCCATATTTTGAAATAAAGGTACATTTTTCTCATGAAAGTATAATTTTATTCCTTTGTATTTTTATTAATTGCAAATAGTCATCATTTTTTCTTTCCTAGGTCAGCTATGCAACCTTTAGTTTTCACTTCTTGAAAAGTAATGATGTGTAGTCATCTTATAGTGTATCACGCAATATTTTTGTACTCACTTTTAAAATTCTTCATTTATATGGATATTCAAAATTGGGTGCTATCTAGTTTTTTCATATAAATGTGATCAAGTACAGATGAAATAAAAAATAAAATTGTCTGAAAAATCAATAAGCTTTTCATCCTCTATATTTTGTTTATCTTTTAACCAAAACGATTCTTTGACCACATGATTTCTGAATTTTTAATATATTTATTACTTTGTCTTCATTCTACACCTTGTACTTAAGTGCAATTATTCTTTTGACTTTATATGACCTTATTTTGTAAGATTGGCTCTTTTCACCAATTGATCTTGGCCAATTTGCACTTTAGTTGAAATCTTGAGATAGTTACCTTTTTCAAAAAAATTAAACTCGCAAATGACTATTTTAAAAATATGGTTCTTCTGAACATCATATAAGCTGTTAGTGAAAATATTCAAGGAGTCTAAGATTGAGTACCCCAGAACTTTTGGGGCTAGATCCTATAACACTAGTGAGTATTTTGGGTGGATTATGATTTTAAAAAAAAAACACACTTTCTATTTAGTCTAGCTTTGCTTTCTCTGACACAAGTACAATAATTGTCCAATAGGCACAGCACTTGTGTTCTTTTTAAAATCTATATTTTTATTATGTTTTTAAATAGTAGTTATATATATGTATATACATGCTGGCTTGTGCTTAGGGGAATACAGTGTGAACAGAAATAAGGGGCGTAAAGACCCATGAATAACAGCAGTAGCTAAGGACAAGTGACAAAGAGAAGTAAAAAAAGTATTTGATGAATCTGAGAGTGCTTGGTGCGTAGGAGGAGGATGTGCACATAAGGTTACAAATTCTGACCACAGTTATTATTAATGCCGTAAAAGGCCCTCAAGGAATTACAAAGCTGTTCTTTCCTCTGAATGGTATAAAAGCCTCACATAATATATTACATGATAAATTACATTCCATTTTATAAGGTACTTCTTTTTATTAAAATGAACATAATTTTATGGGATAAGTAGTTTAGAACTTAAAATCTTTATTTTAGATTTGATGTTAGTCATATTTTTTCTGCCTGGATATTGATGGAATTTCAAGTGTAAGTAGTCAAAAAATGTACAATTTAATTGTAGATAGTTCAAATAGAATTATAGGTCCACAAACACCTCTGCCTGACTTTAACTTTGGTTTGAGTCCCCAAACTATTGCCAGAATTACTTTGAGTCACAAGGCATTTTTGTCCCTTATCCTGGTACCAGCTTTTTGGCTCATTTCCTACATTTAGTTTCCAAATAGTACTCTGACCTCATTCCATGTGATCTTCTTCCTGACTTTAGCATATATTCAAACACACACACACACACACACACACTCACACATACACGCACGCACACACGCACACATGCACACACGTACACACACACTCTGAACATTTGAGGAGGAGAAGTGAAATCACAAATAAAATTGTGTGGAGGATGTGTTGGTAGGCAAAAATGATTTAGGCAAGAATGGTTTGCCCTCTCTATCTTTGGCCTCATTTCCTTTTTTTTCCTTCCCTTTCCTGACCATTGGCCATCAGTGTCCTTTTCCAGGAGAGATTTGATAAGGGGTGGTGG